AGGAAGTCACGTAATACTCCGTTGTTCCCAAGCCTCCCAGCAACACCATTGTGGTGCGGCTCCACATTTGACCCTACGCCTGGCTCCTGACCAAAAGGAACACATAGTTGTCACTACCTATTTATTTATTCGCATCAACGTTTGGGTTGCTTTTCATCCGCCCTGATATACCAGCATGTGCTTCCTTTTAGCTTTAATGACTTTATTACAACTCATACCACACGGACTATTAGACAGACCGATAAATAAGCCGCTCAAGCGCGCACCCTTGAAGAGTTGCAGATTAAACGTGAAACTCGGGTAAAACATCTCACTGTAGTTGCTAACCACAGATAACTCCCTCATCCGAAATACATCGGCGACAACTTTGGACGAAGTTGCAGAAAGTCAAGTCGAAGTCATTATGTATGTTTGACTGAACACCTGTAAAATGCCGAATTTGTCCTGTTCACATTAATACTTCAAACTGAAATGTATTTGCCCGAAATACTTAACGCTGTTCACTGCGGCCATTTATCCACCAACACCATGTTGCTGTAATCAATTGGGGGTGCTGTACACCTTCTAGTTCGTGAAGAGGAGCTCGAAGATGGTCATAAAACCAGCAGGTTTCCTTGCACAGTTCTGATGCTTAAATTCATCGGAACCATGGCTTTGCGGTATTTTTAATGTGAACGTTTAACGTGATCATGACGGTGAATGCCACTGACAATTTCCCACTGATTAAAAATTGTCCTTCACTAGTAACGGGTTTGGGCGCCATCGGCGTCATTGGGATGCATGGCGACCCACAAGTGAGCAGCGTAGAGTTCAAGGGAGCACGGCGCTCTCAGCTACCGATGGAGCAACTCAGCCTTGGGTAGACAGTCGTTTCGATATACACTGGTTGATTCAAACCACACCTTAGTTCAGACAAGATTTGGATTATATATTCCCGATAAACTCTAGAAATGGGCTTCCTGTTTAGCAGCGAGAAGGTTTGTTGAGTCTCACACTATAGAAACACAGCAAAGTGTATTGTGCAATGTATTACAATTGGCCTTATAGCAAGACATTGATCGTAACTGGAATAAGGTAAGCAGTTATCCGTGACCCTGGGAACTCTGTCTGTGGTATCTCCGAACGTGTGCACGGAAGCCAATTGATCTTGGAATGGTCGCTATCATTCCTCGATACGAGGAACTATATATTTTCCGGCTCCAAGTTAAATTCTGCAAGACAGTTGATCAGAGAACAGTTGAAACGTAGCAAGTATGTAGACAGAGGCGCGGTTGGACCAGAAGCTCTAGGAGATAAAAAGCCCACTCCGGCTGGGAGTGCATGGCGGCTTTTCCAGATGACCCTCAAGAGTCTATCTCAAAGGGCTAATACTGAAATCACACAATATGGTATACAATTTACAAAATAGCTAGGCGGAATAATTTCGAAAACGTTCTGTTGGCTCGCTACTCCGCCGCCCCTTCGACGCACAATGCTCTATTCTGCAAAGCCACCGTGAGTGAAATAAAAACTTTAAAGCACAAATGTTGCACTTCTTTGCATATCTGTGCAGTCCAAAAATCACCCTCTGTTGCCACTTTTTCGAGATTTGTTTTAGTCGATTTCTTTTGAAAATTATTCGCGCATATTCGGCTTTGAACGTCGTGTGCTATAGCTTTGGAAGTGGCTCCAAAGCCTTTCGATGAGAAAGTTGTGGGTGTATCGTTTTCATCCTCCACGGCATATGAGAAAGCCTTTAATCAAGACATGAAGAATAAATTTGTGGTATTTGTGTGTTCATCCAATAATCGAAGCACCAACGCTGTTTTTCGTTACGAATAAGTGTACTACAAATGCAGCGGGCGCCCTCCAAGATCAACGGGAAGTCGAAAAATCCGAAGAAGCTAGTAAGCCGAGCGTACTTTCTAATAAAAAAAGTACGAGAAGCGCCAGCTATCCAGTGCAGTTTTGCCTACGAAGCCAAAGGATCCAAATTGCAGTGGTCTCTTGTTTTCTTGAACGCAACCACAAATTGTCAAAGTTTCTCAACGGCCGGTTTCCAGGTAATTGATGCCTAACGGAAGACGAGTTGGGCACATTTAAGGCCCTTCTGAAATATGAAACGCCCTCATGTGAGGTGCGGCAGTTCGTGGGGGATGGATTCGGCAAGATTCTTACCACTCGGGATATATACAACTACCGCCGGAAGTGTCGGCCATCTGTGTCTAGTAGGTGCCGCATAGCTGGGTTTTAATGTGGCAAATGAGATGCCTTCTGTCCTGGCAAAACTTCGGGAGACCGGACGCGTCCTTGTGTGTCAGTCTGAGGAACGTCACTATAGCCACACATGCTTCTCTCGATGGCAGCAGATAGCGTCGTTCCGACGCTTTCCAGATGTCGTGGATGTAGCCGGAAAGCATGCAACAAACCGCGTTGGCTAAGTTTTTTAAAGCATCTAATATTTGGCATGTATATATATAAACCTTGATAACGGACGGCATGGGAACCGGGCGTCCGGTTATGTATGCATTCGTAGAGAGTGACCAGTTTGCTCCTATGCGTAAATTGTTAAGGTCATTCACGTTCTAAACGTGGTCTGTGGAATGACGACGTATACATGCTCTCTGGTTTTTAGACACTTGCGTCCGCAACCTCCGAGGCTGCCGTATGAAAGTGTTGAAATAAACAAGGTGAGGTCGAGCTACGTAAACTACCTTATAGCGGTTGGAACACCAAGACGCTCGCAGACTGTTGAACCCTGTGCTGGAGAATGAAGATGCCTTTCCTTCCAGTAAATTTGACTCCCATGTATACATCTGTTCTCTCTATCTCGAGATCAGCCCTTTCCGAGCAGCAAGAACTACTCCTCATTGACTTTTTCTTAGCTAGCTTCCTAGTCCACCAACGACGGCTATCGGATTACAACCTAGCGGAAAATGTTTACCCCTTACACTTGTTCCCAAGCCATTGACGGCCTCCGTAAACAACTGAACCGAGTGATTGATAAGCTTAAGAGGCTAGAACCCAGGAGGGCCACAGCCGTCTTTAAGCGATTGATTGTTCAGGGACAAATCCTGCTGTGTCAAGGCTCAAAGTCTCCACCTGGCGGCCTGCCTTTGGTGAACGAGGGTACTGCCCCTCAACCCAGATGGTGGTCTCGGAACGCAGACTTGGGCTTTTGTGTGCTCTGTGACATGCCGATTGCGATATTTCAAATATTGTAGCTACTGAAACACGAGGCGGCCTGGTGCAGCACATTCAGTTGCCTGAGAATATCATAAACGAGAAATTCAACTGGGTTCCAGGTGAGTCACTCGAAAGAACCAAATTGGTTTGCAAATGAGTGTATATTCGCTAAATTATATCTTCCTCTCATTTCAGGACGTCAACGGCCTAATGAACACTCCTCACGAAGAAATGCGCCCCCCAGAATGACATATGTACACTTCAAAACGAACGATACATCTCAACATTTCATGACGTCCATTTTGAGCCTTTTCTCCGGCGCAGATGGATGGGTGCGTCCCGGCATCTTGTACCCCTAGCCGCGTGTTAGTCGAGTGCGTCAGTTAGGTTCGTTCAGCCGTCCTGTAAGATCGACGTAGGTCCAATGTTCCTAATCGATAAACCTCGAGGTCTTCTAGCATAATTCGCAACCTGTAATGGAAAAATCTCTTTTTTGGCAGAAAACGTTCACGACTATTAGGAAATAATTATCGACGACCACGGAGTTTTAACTGACAACAGGAACCATCGACTAAAATGTGTTTGCACGAATGCACCTACGCATATTCTGCATCTCCGTAGGCAGTTTAGATTCCAGAATGTTCAAGAAATTTTTTCGGTGGAAAACTTCCTGAAAGTTTCGTTTATTGTGAGTCAGCGTTTTCCACAATTAGCGATTCTTCATCATCAGGTAACGCATTCACAGTCGGTGTTTATTGACCATGAGCATTCGCTCACTTAAACAAATCATCATGGTAAATGATTTTAAATAATATAGGAACCTATACATTATGCATAGGCATTCTACACTATGAAGTGGCAAGCCTGAAAACGCCGTAGATTGCGAGAAATCAATCCCGTTGTGCAAATAGTGAGCGGCCTCTCCCGCTGCCGATTTATTCCGTCATTGGCTATTGGGTCTGGACTTTCGACCAACCACAGTTCGGCTTAATGCACGACACGCAAGTAGCCCGTACTTTTGGCCAATCTTTTGCGGGATAGGGTTCTCGGCCGTAGCGCGCGGTGAGGCGCTCAATAGCTGCCCAACTTTCAATCCCTTCAAGTAATTGAACTATTCGCATACCTAATTGCTGATTATGTTTTCACTTCCTATGCTTGATATCATCTCTTGTGCTTCCTCATTTTCCGGTGACAAAAATTTAGCAGCCGTAACTATGGTTGCGTTATAATGTACCCCTGGTAAACAGTTCATATGATAAAATGACTAACTGCGTGAAAAGCGGAAAGCCGAGGAAGAGGAAAAACAGTCGGGAGTAAGATGTCTGCACATTTGAAAATCATAGAAGTGAACACATCTGGGCAACAATTCGAAGGAAGACACTGTCGACAGGATCAACACGACGTCCTCGACTAACCATACTGATTGTAAGCCCAGCCACAGGCGAAATTTAAGCATGCGGTTTGGCTAGGAAATGACAGCATACGTGCCAGTGAAGTCGGTTATGTGCCACCTCCTCCAAGGTTTCCAGACACGTGCAAGGCCAGGTAAGCGCGGTGACCCCGCAACACTAACTCCAACTGTAGCTGCTTTCACTTCATCTTGCCAGATAATGATCTGTCCTCCGCGAACCCTTCACCGACGTTGGTGTGGAACACAAAAGGACAGTTTATTTGTCAGACGGTGGTTAGGCATATGTAGTACATGTCTTAACTGCTGGAACTTCATGGGGTCAGTCCACTGCTTGAACGATTGGGGTTCGTTATCAAGTATCCGGTTGAGCATCTTTCATTAAGTATCCACCGCTACCAGCCGACTCTTCCGATTCTACGGAGTCAGGTGATCGAAGGTCTCAGGGTGCTCGAGGTCCTTGGTTCGTCGTATCTGCCTTTCAGTCTTCTATACAAGACCTTTAGGCTCCAAGTGAAAATTTCCGACCATAGATGACGCAATCTGGGAAATGCTGCTTGTTCCTTGCTTACCCGCTCGCTGACTTCATCCATCATGGTGGAGGCATGGCTTATACAGGCGGCAGGGTGTGTGAACCGATCGAGAAATTCAGGTTCTTCATTCTGAATTACCAGGGGAGCACCACAGGACAGAAAGTCGTAAAGGTACACAATGCGCTGTGAAGATGCAAAACACAGACTTGAATAGGGACCACATCCAATCATCATCTTTAAAATGCCTTGCGCGCACGAATAATTACCAAACAACAAAACGATGTCCACTCCGTCACTTTCCTTGCGATATTTTCACCCAGTTTCATTATCGCCTGGATCGTGCACTACATAATAACGTTGCTGACAAAAATGGAGGGAGAAACCCTGACAAACTCAACTAGTGAGAATGCTATTGGACATTACACTGTAGATCATAACCCAAAAGGTTCGAAATACAGGGCACGAAACCGATCATCAACTTCATGGTGGACCCATGTGGCTGAGAGTATATATTCATCGTCCAAGACTACCTAAAATTTTGAGGAAAACCGATTCTAGTATACCATGTTTGGCTACGCACCTGAGGAAATGGGAACATACGAACAATCCATCCCGTTGCTGATCAAAATCCTGATTGAGGCTCCAGGATTTACGTCCTACCTTTCCGAAGATATGCGTCGCAATACAAGAGAAGCCAGTGGCCGTGTTACCACAGGCTTACGGCTCGTATCCCTGTTGTAGGAACAGTCGGTTGGGGTACGTCTTTTGAACGCGGGTACGACCAACGATTGGTCGCAATCCTATGGAACACTTTCCTGTGCAAATGCGTACAAACAACCTAGTCAAGGTGGAACCCAAAGATTCTTCTCCATCTTTGAACATCTATTTGAATAGCTCTGAACATCTGGTCCAGCAGCATGATGGCGCTTCAGGGCAGATTTATATTAGTTCTTGGCCAACTAACGGCGTTACTAACGAGTGTCACCGATAGCACGAATGGGACATGTCTGACAATGCCTATAATCATTGATGTGTCCCCTCGGGGTCCCCATCCAGGGAAAAAGCAATGGCCAGCGCAGCTGAGTTTGCTGGCGACGGCTTTCAACCTTCGCTGCCAAGTCGTTGTTTGACCACCACCGACCGATTTCAACTTTCGTGTGGTTGTGCGAAAAGAACCCTCCGAGGAATTCGGTCGACTGGCATGCTGGGCACGTGGCTAGGCCAACACAACTTATTGAGGGTGATCAGTTCATCTATTGTGAGTGAGTTATATCTTCCAAAAACCGTTCAACGTACTTCAGCATTTCTGACCCGGTGTTTCCACCAGACTTGAGCAATGCTCCGTAGAAATCGATGATCAAACACTGAATGTCTTTTGACGTCCCCCGTGCGCAGCGGCCACGTTTCAGACCTGTATGGCAATATGGATCGCATCGCAGCATTGTGAACTCGAACACTGACGGATAAGCTGATGGTAGGCCTACGCCACAGGTGACACATGTTCACAAAAGCTGCTCTGGCCCCTTTAATCCTGATGGGAATATCATCTTTCGCGAAACCAGCAGGACTGATACAGCTGCTCAGGTAAGCAAACTTGTCTAGTACCTCAATCGGCTCATCCTCAAGCACGATGTGAAGATTCGAGCCCAGCTAGTCTTGCAGGTGTGAAGCGCGTTCCAAACGGTGGGGCGGAATTATTTAGTATTGTTATTATATTCACTATTTAACATATTCATATATATATATACATATATATATATATATATATAGTATTGTTTTCATTACCATGGCGTCAGATCCAAGAATACTTATGTCGTTTGCGTACTCAATATCTGTGAACAAACGTTCCGGGAGCACTTCTACCTAACGGGCATTATAGGCTGATAGTGGTTCTCCCATATTTGTATCAATTACGAAGTTGTGGAGGAGGGGCAAATAAGTACAGCCTTGACTGACACCGCTTGATGTGATTAACTCAGAAGAGAGATTCTTATCGGTCTTCACACGGCCACGGGAGTTAGCGTACGGTGCCTTAAGGAGGTCAATAGGAGGTCCATAGACATTGCCATAATACTTGGCGGTCCATATAGTCAAAGGCAGCTTTCAAGTCAAGGAATACAACCATTGTTGGTTTCTGGAAGGAGTGCCGCTCTTTTAGAATCTATCGGAGTGTGAAGATTCGGCCGGTGTATCCTGTTGTAGGACAGAACCCAGCTTGGTTTTCATGGACCTCTCTCTTTGTGTTCAGTCACCCTTCGAAGGATAGGTCTAGAGAGCACCTTCGATACCACAGCTACCAGGCTGATGCCACGGTGGCTTTCATACAGCGTCCCCGTCAACATGCCCCATTCTACAGGCACTAATAAACTTTGTCAGATGGGTCGCCAGGGAGTCTCCACTTTCTTTCAACACGCTGGATAGAGACCGTCCGGTCCTTGTGCCTTCGCACGTTCCAGTACGGATATTTCGTACCTTATTTATCCTTCCGATTGGCACCATCTCGATAGGCTGTTTTACAGCAGGCCACCCAGACTTCTTCGAAGTGTTCGGCCCATCTTTCCAGTTGACGTTTTTGCGAGTGAATTGACGAGCCACCTTTTTCATTTATCGTTTCGACGACCGCTGTTTTCGTAGGGCCACTCGAGCGTACCAGTTGGTATAGGAGAAGGCTGTTCCCGGTATCAAAAGCCTTCTCCATCCCCGAGCTTTCGGTGTGCACCAGAGCTCCAGGTCTTTCCTTAGATTCTTCACTATTTGGCACTGCCTTACTCGTTGCTTGTTGGTAAGGATTCCCTGGCCTCATTCATGGATAGCGACCTCGACAGCATCCAGTTGTTTTGTGGTCGAACCAGAGAAGTGAGACAGACAGCAGCTAGCATAGCTCCTTTCATATTTTGCCATACTTCATCCATGTGTTGACTATCAGTACAGTATTGGTTTTCAGTAAAGAGTTGTTGGGCGAGCTCAGATCGATACGCTTGAGATATGGTAGTTGTTCGAAGACAGTGGATTAGCATGCTTCTTGCTGAGTTGCAAGGGCCCGAAGGGAAGCGAACTGTCAGGCGTGCATGCACCATGGCGTGATTGGAATCAATCGGTGTGTCCCAGAAGGAGCGGCAGTCTTGAATTGTGGCTCTTCACCAGTGGCTGATGGCGACGTGATCTAACTGGATCCACAGTTGATTTGCAGTTGGTGGCCGCCAGGTTGCCAATACCAACGTTTATGCTAAAACCTCGTGCTGGTCAGAAACAGTTCATGATCCGTACACAACTGGAAAAGTCGCTGTCCGTTGTTTGTGCGACGAGCATCGACTCCGAATCAACCGTCCAGATGTGATTCCAAAAGGCTCGAACGGCCGCCTTGAGCATTCATATCGCCCGCAGGGATCACGATGTCACTGCTTCTTGTTTGACGAATGAGCCTGGATGACTCTCGGTGGAAAGTATCCTTCTCAGTCCGCTGGGGTGTAAACACGGCGAGATGACTGTGATTACAGAGCGAATTTACTGATCGGAAGGTCCGTGGTTCGGACCAGACATCTGCCTCGACTTCTCTGTAGGCTTGGACAACCTGGCAGTATGTCACCCGTCGTGCTTCCTCTACGTGACGCGGCAGCGAGGCACCAGAAGGGTGTTACGGCCGAACGATTATTATTTTTATTATTATTATTATTATTATTATTAATTATTATTATATTACCTCAAACAGGCGCCACTTTTTGTGTCGCAGACATTGAGCTTCATTTGGCTGGATAACTGGACGGCGCTGACGACTAATCTCTGGGATCTAATCCAGAAAAACTCATTCAGGTCTGGGGTTGAGTGCAACTCCCACGCCATTTATTCCACGATTCGTCGCTTCTGGGTCACCGAACACATCGAGGAAGAAATGTGGAAGAGCTGAGTTAGTCGTTGGTGCTTTGATGTGTATAACGCTCGGATCTTGTATGCGTGTTTCGGAGACAGCATACATCAATTTCAAGGGAGTATAAGGTTTCACCGAGTATTGCCTGTTTACCAACTTGACATAGAGTAAGGACGTTAAAAGCTCCTACATAGAAGGGATAAAAGGATATACAAAGTTGTTTGTTTGTTTATTGTTAATAGACAGCGCATTGCTGAACCAAGAGGCAGCGGAGTTTGGGGTTTCTTTGAGGACTCTTCCCGGAGCCGATGACTCAGTAGTCCAACCGTCTTGGCTGCAATGGACTGTCCGAACTAAGGGTGTAGGGGAATAAGCCACTACTGTCTCACTCCCGATACGGCTATGCTCATCAGATACCTCTTAAGCGGCACCGAACTCTGATTTTAGAAGTATTTCGGCCGTGTTGAATAATGCGCCGGCGGTCACGATCTACCTTTGGGTGATCGAACTGTGCGGATTTTGGGCCGGCCTTTTCTAACCCGTCCTTCCTCGAGGAAAGGCAGCATCGCTGCTTACATAAATATGGACATGCTGGTCGCCTGAGGGAAACACCTCACTGCCTTCACACTCCTATTGCAGAGGACAGCACGAATTCACCAACCTGAAGGTCCATGGATCGAACCCGATCTGTACATCTCGACTTCTTCTCTCTGGGCCTGGGCAAACTGGCGGTATCCCAGCCCTGGTGCTTCCTTCGGGTGGCATGGCAACGAGGCACCGGAAGGCCGTTACAGTTGAATGACTGTTACTGTTACTTATTTCTGCCAGTCGCCAGACTTTCTCGAAGGATTCTTACCGGACAACCACGCGAAGGGTTGAAATGAGCCAGGGGGGTAAAACAATAACTTAGCAGCAAAGGATGAAACCCAATACCAGCAAACTCAGCTGCGCTGGTCATTGCTGTCTTCCTGGATGGGGACCCCGAGAGGGCACACAATGGTTAGAGGCATTGTCAAACATGGTCTAGCCGCACCCTCAATGGCACTCATGCATCTAAGCAACTGCCTTCGATGCCTAGCTCCCTTCCCGATCTCTCCAGCTCTAGATGTTTATCATATATTAGTTTTTCAATATTAGTCCTGACTGTCACTTTTAAGGACAGCAACATCATCCTTTTTCATTTCCTATGCCTCCTGATCCAACCACGCTGTTGTCCTCATATATGCTACGCTTGAACTGCTTTTTTATCGATTGTCTCGTTGACTTATACTCAGAACCCGTGTGCATATAGCTCCTTGTATCAAGGAGTGATGGTGACTATTCTTGGATCCAGTGGCTTCCGTGTACACGCCCAAAACTCTATAAGCAAAGTTCCCAGCGACACGGATAGCTTTGATTATCTCAGTCAATGGCGTTCGCGTTGTTATTTTATTTTCAGATTGTCTGATTGAGCGCTTGGAGATATGGGCACCTCAGAATCCTTGTGATAGGTCAGCACTAGGTCCTTTCCCTCAAACACTTTGTCTTTTCACTCTAAGACTGGGCCTGCCTTCTGGAGGCTTTTGTACGCTTGCTTGACGCGCACTTGGCCATTCAACGTTGGAATTGAGAGTGGCAGTGGTGAAATTGATGCGAAACCGATGAAGCCCGACGGGACCTAGCAACTCAGACCAGTGAGTTTCGCATCTACGATGCGCAGAGTGATGGAAAGTCTTACCAACGGTGAAACAGCGTTGTCGGCTTATAAAAAATATACGAAACTCCAGTCCGCATTTAGCTAGGGAGAGATGGGTCGTTCGTGAGTTCTGCAGTCAGGTTGCCTTCGTAAGTGCGGGCTTTAGTAAGACATTTGATTAGGTACCAAATCACAGACTGTTTCAGGAGCTCATGTCTTACGGGGTGCAGAGACAAGTAAACGGAATAATAGGAGAAACTGTGACGCATGCTACGCAGGTTCGACATATCTTTACGTCGTAAGTATGGGATCCGCGTCTGAAAAAAAGTCTGGGCCGTTGCTACCAGATTTCAGTTTTTATGCAACCGATAGGGTTCCCTGGGTCGCCTCTCCAAAACAAAACTCTCTACCGGAGTGCCTTGTCCACCAGGTATCTGGGTGCCATACTCCAGTAGAGTATACAGTGTTCCGTAATGACGATTTCTTGCCAGACGAGTACTTTTATTGGCGATTCTTATCGAATTAGTTGTTTCGTCCGCGAACATCCGTAGAAATGCCTAAAACAAAGAGGTGAAGTTTCCAGACTGTCTCCTACATAGACGGAACCGCGCTAGGAAAGCTCGTTTCTCGAGTAATAAATATGTTTGCTTTAGATAATACAGCAGAAATTGCAGTTCGGCATTCTTGAAAAACTACATGTCTTGTTAGGCGCAGTAATAGAGGGCGCGAGATGTCTCAGTGGTTAGAGCTGGAATTTACGGACTGGAAGGTCCGTGGAGGGAACCCGGTTACCGCTTCTCGACTTTCCCTGTCTAGTCTTGGGCAACCTGGCAGTATCCCAACCCTTGTACCTTCTCCGTGTGGCACCGGAAGGGTTTAACAGCCGAACGATAATCACTTTTTACTAGGCACGACGAACCGAGTGAATGTCTGTCTTCGATGCAGACTTAATTTTTGGGTGCTGTAGACGCTTCTCAGACCAAGTGATTCTCAATGGGGCGCTGTTCATCAGCGGGCAACAGCGTTTTCCGTATCAGTTGCTGGCTGTAGAGAAGTGTTGTAGCTATGATTGCCTCTGTGTAGCTTACTGAAGGAAGAAACACGAATGTTTTCCTGACATGTCTTCAGTGGTATGTCCTAAAAATAACAAAACAAATCGTTTAGCTGTAACACCCTTCCGATGCCAAGCTGCTATGCTACCCGAAGGAAGCACGAGGGCTAGGATACTGCCAGGTTGTCCGAAGCCTAGACAGGGGAAGTCGAGAGTTAGAGGTCGGGTTCGAACCACGGACCTTCCGGTCAGTAAATTCGCGCTCTAAATATTTGAGCCATCTCATCCTAGCTATCGGATGATGTCCCGGACATTGCAACTGGGATTTCCGATGATTTTCTCAGTGCCGCCTGTTTGCTTTGGAACGTCGCATTTTTTGTAACCTGCCGGTCATCTGAATAGCCGGTTTCGTTTCGCCTGCGTACCACTCCTTATGTATAGTAGTAACCTTATACACCATAACGGTCTCTTATTTGGTGGAACCAAAGCGCTGTTGCCTAAGCAGTAGTCGGCTAAATGGCGAACTCGGTGCTTTGGGGGTCATTCTGGTGTACAGGGTGAACGCTGACTGCCTGATATGCGACATGTACATTGTGATACCGGGTGCAGTTATGTACGTATTGCCAATCACCCGGAGTAGTAATAACGTATTAGCCGGCTTGATCCCTAGCACGAACTGACCCCATTAATATTGATTATTCAACTGGTTGGTTGACGAATCCATTGGATATATGTGTTGGTGCCGCCGATCGTACGCTTTGGACTTGCATCTGCAGTACTTTCCCCGATTGTAGCCTGTCCTATCGCCATACTTTGCTTGTCGCTGCCTATCGCCGGGTGGAGTGTTGTGTCACTGAGCGATCGTTGACCGAGGAGCGGCAGTGAAATACTGACTGTTTTATCCATAGCCACCGGATTCCCCGATGTTGGTAGATCAGTCTTCTCTAGTGGTGCATTCGTGGGAGGGGGGAAGGTGGCTATCACCGCTGTCGATGGGGCGTTATTTTTACCCAGGACTCTCACAAGGCCGCTGTATATTTGGAAGGGTTTTCACGAGGATCCATGTCTCCACTACTTGCCTGTCTGTTGATCCGGTCCAGTAGCTGCTGAGTGTGATTGATTCGGGTGAATCTATCGTTGTCCTTCAACCCAGAGGTTGCGGAAGAAAGTTTTCTTCACCACGGTATCATGCTCAGAGGAGATGATCGTCCTTTTCAGTGGGTTGCAACCACGGCTTCGGCGGTTTCAAGCCAGCGCCCCGGAAAAAAATGGCAAATAGACAACTCACGCCACAGGAATCCTAACCAGGTAAGGCTTGTTTTTTCTACTCGGTAGAAGCCAAAGCGACTACCAATATTGCCTTAGACCTTGTTGTTAGGAGGCTTCATTCATTCACTCCTTCAATTCTTAGATCCTATTGGGAATGCGTGTTCTCATTGTTTACCCTATCTTGATCTAGTTTTCCACTCAACCTTTGTTTTTCTCTCTCCAAGTGCAAATTGAACAATGCCTCCGGCCCGTGCAACGACAGTTATGTTTAATGTGGTAGGTCTTCTATCAGATGATTTATCTTTGTGTGTGCAACGGTTCAGGTGAGGAAGCACGTACCATTGATCAAGTTTCGCAGCCAACTGAAGGGTTCACCAAGTAAACACGTTGACCATTTAATCGCTTTTTCATGTCAGCTACACAAACGCCCACATCATCCCAGCAACCGTCCTCTACCTATGTGGTGAAGTGTTCAATCCCTCCTGGGCAGGCGGTTGAGTATTACGATCTTCTTCCTAAGTTTAAAAGAAGACCGCTGACCGAGGAGGAGATAACGTTGCTTCAAGTACGTTCTTTTTGATGCCTGGATTTCTTATTTTCAGACTGGCGGCCTTTCAGATTAAGCGACGAACGTAGACGCCACCACATCGAGTTCAGAAGTTCATTACTATTATAACTCTCGTTAGATAAAGAATACAGCCTTCGTTCGTTTGACTGATCTTTTTGAATAGTTGTTGACTAGGCATCGCATGTTAATAGTGCTAGCAATTGCACAGGAGCTAGGTTATGGGCTGCTGATGGTTCGTAACTTGGGCGTGCCGCTTGTGTTCGTCTAGCCGTGAATTAGTTTCAGTAGGAGTCGTTTCAGTTCAGCTTGGTGGTATGAGGCCTCCGTGAAAGCTGCATCAATAACTTTGAGATTCTCGTCCACAAACACGAATGGGTTACCCCTACTGGGAGCACTTCCGGACAAAGACTATTTATCCATGAAGTGTGGACGCCTTCAGAAAAACAAGACGTTCACGCTATCACTAACATGGTCGGGTAATCTCATTTCGCTCTGCTGATAAATGTTTCGGACGTACAAACTTTTTTCCAAAGTATCCATAACTGCACGTCATCCCCCATATACGTCATATTGGGCTGCATTTTCTGGGTGAGGACTGGATAATCTTGTCGTCAGGTATCCATCGACTGTACATCCGTACGTCTCAACGAGATGTCGGGTCACACTTCCAGTTAGCACATTCGTGGCATGCTTAGTTGTATGGAGGCAAATTTCGTCACCAGTCACCAAAAGACCGAACTTTACCATGTGACGGCTTTTGAACCGCAGCCAACTGGGCTACACTGGAGGGTGAACGTGTGGTACTCGGAGTTTACGGTATCAGGTTGGTCCGTAGTCGCGTGTCCGACTAAGTCTTCTAGTGTTTTAGTTTGGTGGTCACAAAATGTGGCGACTTGCTCCCCAAAAATATGGACCTTTCTGGCGGTCTCACGCTAACCACCGCTGCCTTGCGGTTAGACTTTTGGATGAGGCCCCGAGTGGTCCTCCTACCTAGGTCTGAGGCACATATACCGTATTCTAGCCCACGAACAACCTTGAGTCACCCAATTATAAATAACCTCAAGCCTAATCGGCCGCCGCATGGTGCCATCGGCCGGGTCTCCTTGCTACGCAAAGAAGCGCGCGTAAACGAAAAGGCGACTGGTGACGCTTCTGTTCTCCCTCTTACACGTACTCTTTCTCCCCGTTGCCAGCAACATCCCCGTGTCACATTCTCAAGGACTGACAGATCAGTCCACCACAAGTTGCTTTTATCTACGGTTAACCCGGCCGTCACAACTGCAGGCACTTCCAAATCATTCTTTAAACCCGAACGTTAAATTCTTCTGGCTGCGTTTTACGTTCGCCATTTGAAACGCGGTGCAAAACAGACTCGTCTCACATATGCGCTCCGCTCGCCTTCTATTAATGTGTGCTGTCCCTCTGAGACGTTTTCATCGCCGTATAAAAATACGTATTCATGATATCATGTCTCTTTGGTGGCTCTCATTGGTTTAGCGATGGTACTCTTCCGATGCACAACTACCATGTAACTCGAGGAATGCACGAAACCTGAAATATTGCCAAACTGCTCAAGCCTAGACAGGAAAAATCGAAATTCAAGGGTTGGGTTCGGACCAGGACTTTCTGGACAGCCTTAACCACTAGCTATCATCCAAGTTCAGCTGATTCCAAAACCAGCATTTCCTAATACGGGACCAACGACTATTATGCGAAATCACCGTGATATGTTAGTACGTGTGAATCATGTGTTAGAACATCGGTAATCTGGAGCATCTAGTTAATGTAAAGTGGGAAACTCCATCGTATGAAAGCTGTCAGAAGAAGGTGGATACAAGAGGTAATCCACTGTTCAGTGCAAAAAGCACGCTGCACTCTTCCACGTGGAAACGTTTCGGAACCTCCAGAAGGTACTCCTGGAAAGGGATGTACTGCTCTGGCAAGAAATTTGGACTTTTAGTCCCGTGGTCTTGCAAGACGATCCCATTAATCCGTCGAATTTGCTTAAGCTCTCTGCTTTGTGGTGGAAACAGCTTAGCGACGTGCGGATTCTACGTTGGCGGCAAAACAAATAATGTCGTTCAAACAGCTGTCTTCACAAAGGTAAGTTAGGATGAGTGACACTCTGAAAGATAAGGTTTGCTGTCACTGACGCTCCGGAAACAGTTGTTTCCTTAAGATGGCTACCAACTCCCGTGCGGCCATCATCGGCCCGTTTTTTCTCCTTTCACCGTTTACGTTGATCGCAAGCGGAAACGCTTCGTATTTCGAATAACGGTCGACGATGCGAAATTCCTCACCTTGAGACCGATTTTCTAAGTCTTATGATACAGTCCACCTTCTAAAAGGAATCTTTTGGCTATCCGGTTATTGACAGTGTGTGGCGTGCTCATGGTTGCTTCAGAAATCTGCTTTTTCTATCTAGGAGGTAATTCGTCTCCAAAGAGTCACAGTAGTTGTGGACATATACATCGGTTTTCGTTAAGAACTTCGTAAATGGTCGTCACAAGAAGTGAAAAGCTTGTCTGTGCCACGCACGAGGACCGCGTGAGCCATGCTGTGGAGGATGGGTTGCGCCCACTCGGTGTGCTCAACACCCAGACCAACATCCACCACTAGTGCCCGTAACACTAACGGTATCAAACTTCACATACCAGCGTAATGTTATTCGCATCGTCTATTTTGAAGGCGTGTTCACCTGCTCGAAAGTGAACTCCGTGTACTGCACAGAGTTCTAGAAATGTAGGCTTGAAAATAGTCTCAGCATGGATATTTCGCTTTCAAAGCCCGCTATAATACCTCCATAATATCCGTATATTTTGAATGTAAATGGAACTGAGCATGGACATTCCTAAAAACAGCTATCCCGTCCGCTAACGTTCGTTATAGACTTTGGATATACTACATCAAGTTACTTTCCTACACCCTTTGGACCATCTTCTTTCACAATGTTACAGATTTAGTGGTTTGGAATATAAGTTCTGTAAACTTGGGAAGTGGCATTCCATGCTTTCGATCCCTCAGGTGGCCTTCAGCCATACAGGGGGCGAGATGGCTCAGTGGTCAGAGCGCGAATTTACTGACTGTAAGGTTCGAACCTGGTCTTTGCATCTCGATGTCTCTTGCCTAGGCTTGGGCAACCTGGCAGTATCCCAGCCCTGGTGATTTCCTCGGGTGGCATTGTAGTTAAGCCCCGAAACAGTGCTACGGCTGAGCGATTTTTTCAGCCATACAGATACCACACCAGAAAGGGACATCCTCTTACTTCACAACACAGAGAACGCGGTGTGGTGGCATTGTAGTTAGGCACCGAAAGGGTACTGCAGCCGGAAGATTTTTCAGTCATACAAATGCCACACTAGGAAGGAACATCCTCTTACTCCACAACGCAGAGAACTCGGTGTTTTTCTTTGTCGAGCCCAACCTCGACTGGCTGGTATTCGTGTCCTTACGGACGACCGCCTATGAATGTCTTGATGCAACAGTACTGAGCATGAAAAGAGTATGCATTGTATGAGAAAAGTCTATGGGAAAGGATTGCGCAGATGAAAGAAAACATGATCTATTGTTGACTCAGGAGTTCTTGGATCCGTTTTTCCAAATTGATGATAATCGGATCATCGGGCTCGTAAACTCCGGTACTCAGTAGACTGTCGCGTTCCCCCATGAGACGTTCCAGTTCAGAATCCGCTGTTCCTGCTGCGGACTGTTTTTGTTCAATTCCGGAACTGTCTGGTGCATTTTGACGGCTGTTTGAGGAGAAATAAACATAATACATAGGAGTAAGCCGCATAGTGAATTCGTTGTACCTTGTATCCATCCTAAAAATTTTAGATAACCTTCTTGCTGAATGGTAACATTGAACAGTCATTTGGGGTACATGTCAAACCAACTCACAGGTGATCCATTCCCCCCAAGATATAGCATTCTGCTCAGTAATCCAACGCCGTCGAAATCTTCAACCAGAGATACTTTGCTTGAACACACAAGACAGACTGTAAACCAACTAATGTAGTTGTCATCCTGCGTTGTGGGTTAACCCGGCTCCCCTTGGGTTATATCAAAACCTAGAAAAGAAAACTGATGCCCCCCAGAAGCTTTAGAGACCCTCTAAGTCATGTCTTTAAGATTGTGAATACTGGGGTTTACTAAGAGGGACTAATTGGTATGTGCAACTGGTTACCTGTCTGTCCGATCTCTTGTTGATCCGTACAACTGTACACATTCGTGAGTCTGAGAAGCAGTGGGCTGACTTTCTGGCATTCCAGCAGCCTTCGCCATAATTTCTTTTTGTTCCATATTCAAATAGCGCATCCGCAGTTGCTCTAATTCAGCCTCCCTTTTAGCCAACGACTGGCGCGCATTGAAATCCGCCTCTTGTTTTACGCGAGCCACTTCATGTAGTGCACGTGTCCATAAGTGTTTGTACCGATCACGACCACGTTGCGCGTCTTCCAGCTGACGCCGTACCTCCACTATGGTCTCTCGAGACTTGGCCAACTCTGTTGCCAGTTTCGCCAACTCCAGTTGATAACTGGCCTGCTGTTGTTCTGACCGATTCCGATCGATGGATTCGTTGGGTTTATGTGATTGCGCCTGAACTAACCGGTTACGAACGCTATTGACTTCATTTTCCAAGTCAGTGCATCGGGCGCGCAACTCCTCTGCCTGAAAATTCAAACGAAGGTTTTGATCACGTGACCGAAGTTCCAACTATCTTCTAAGGTTGTAGTCAGTGTACGAGAAACTGTCTTTGGAAGCAGTTGGGTAGGTGTTGACTGCTGTCAACAAATAATCCGTTTCAACGGCTCGTGTGTTACTGACCAGGTGACCTGTTTCAGAGTCAAATTGTGCAGGATAGTGAGTCCTGGCTTTTTAAATCCAAATTGGGGACTGTCATCATCATCATCAACGACAGCACAACATCAGTGCTCAACACCGATGCTTCACTGCCGTACAACCATGACTTATTTGAAAGCCTTATTGTAAAGAAAAGAATAAAGGTGGATGGGGGAGGGACTTAGTGCTAGCGTAACACAATCATTCCGAGGTGCCTACACCTCCAGACATTCACTCAGGCAATCTGGACAGAAACTGACAACAAGAACGCCACTGACATCGGTTGGCAGCCATATCTTGTAGTGTCTCCAACCAGGCACAGTGAGGATCACGCGGTCCCCATCCTGGAAGGCGAGAAGCACCGACAGCACCCAAGCGTTTTGTGATCTTCTTCATACTCCTCTGCCAGGTCATGGGTTGGCCACCTCTCTGTTTACGCCACTCCGAATTGGGCATGGAAAACAGCACTCTCTTCGGCAAACGATGGTTCGGCATACGCAACACATGTCCCAAATTGGGGACTGTTGGTGTCATTTACGCGCTTTTGATCTATGGCCCTACTTCCAACACCAAATAGCAATACTACTATTTTGACCATGACTACTGGCACCGTTCAGTCGATGTGAATGAATCAGTTGCAGTCACATGTTTGCCTCGCAGATAGTACCTACCGATTTCACGTCTACATGACAAGAAAACCTGGGACAAAAGAGTGGGTCCCGGATAGGACAAACCCAGAGCCACTTGTGTCCTAAGCTATTTCACAAAGGATTGCGCATGCACATTGTAAGTGACAATTAGTAGAAATAAATAATCGGTCGTTTTCCAAACCCCTGTGAAACGACAAACTATGGTTTATTCGTAATTCCCGGGAATAAAGCAGGACTTCCTGAAAATACTCGGGAAAGCGACTGAGGGACTTCAGATGTACGAACAAAAATTGTAGATAGGATTCACCAACACTGGACAGTATCGACAGTTCAGAAGTTTCAGGTGACGAAGCGCATATATCTATCGTGACAGGGTGCGTAAGTACTCGTGATCAAGTCGAACAAGTCCGAGCTTCCTGATGAACCACCAATTCGTACCAGATGTGAAACCTAGCTAGGGCAACCAAGTCAGTTTCAAATATTCAATAGGTTCGTCCATCCGCCAAACCATTTCGAAATGATTGGCCAAAATGAACATGGGAGAATTGGTGAACCATCCCGAACCACTTGGAATAAAGTCCTTTGTACCCCTTTCTTAAAATGAACGTTAGTAAAGTATCGAATGTTGTAGCCCGGGAGTAACAAAGGGATGTACCATCTGTGAACTAACTTGATACGCAACTCTAAATAAAGTACCTGTTCTCTCCAACGTTGAGACTCTGTCTTCTCCATCTTCAGCTGAGTCTCCAGTTCACGGATTTCCGCTCTGGCTTGCTGTGCAGTTTCCTTTCGTTTGAGTTCTGCTTGTTGGGCTGTTTCCTGACGGATCCGTGCTAACTCAGTTTCGCCCGCCGCTAGCTGGCATTCACGGGTCGCCAGCTCCGCCAGAGTGCTGCGTAGTTTGTCCTCTAAGGTCTGATACTCGGACAACTAATCGGACAAAATACGGGGGATGTAGTGCAACATGTTACCACAGACGAAACGGTTTAAAAGTAAATCTTGTGGAATCGCTGATACACGATCTGAGAAAAGCACTAACAAGTCTACACGGAGACAACCGAAAATACACTAGTAGGTTGAAGCCACTCATTTCGTGTTCAAATGTCCAAGCGTTAACTCCTAAGATAGTTCGAGCTAATTTTTGGGATCATCGAGAAAGCAATGAACAACCTCACCAAGTAGAACATGAGGTTCACGGAAATTCGGGGATTTTGCCTACCTGATGAGCCCCAGGAAGGGCGAAACCGGTCGTGGGTTGTCGAAGAGTTTTCAGCAACTTTGTAAGTAGTTTCTTTTATGGAAACCCCACCAACAGTTCAACCCATAATCACTTTCCGTTGAAATGACTTCCTAAACAATTTCAACATTCATCTTAGGAAACTGAACGTCTCGTTAGTCGAACTCACACCAGTTGTAGCTTTGCAAAATTTGATTTCGGAGCTCATGTGTCACGAAGTCTACCATCGATCAAGAGCTGGTTGTTTGCCGACGTTCACTCCCTTCTCTTTTTTCAGCACATGACGTATTTTATTGTATTTTGTGTGCGAGGGGGATGCCGTCGTAGCACTTGCTGTGGGACCTGCAAGATGAGTCGTTACAAGAAGTACTTTGCAATCGATGAAGCATTCAACTCGGGACCAGACAACAGACATAATCATTCTCAAGAGAGCGTCTGAAGAAGGGATATCCGCTGAACAGTCCATAGCAGCTTCAATCAGTGTTTTGAGTCGTCATTCCCTCTCCCGAAGCGGTATCACGCCATACCCATGTTTTTCGCGCCTGAACAAATGACCGGCACACCTATCAAGGCCGGGTTTGGACACAGTTAGAATCGCATGTTTCTGCGTTTGGGATGTTGCCCCTAAACCGTCCCACAACAGAATGTGCCTAATTAGGCAAAATTCATCAGCACCACGCGTACGTATTCTTGTGCTTGGTATTTTTGGTCCTCTGTTTTACTTAAGATTAGTGAAGTCTGTAAGTCGAAATACAAGGGTTCCCACTATGAGTGAATGCTACTTGTTTTGCGGTACTGCAGTTGTGTTAAGCACATAGTCGGTTCATGTGGGAAGCAAACGTTAGATGAACATAAGATAGCTCAGGGATTAGGGCAGGTGTTATGCACCGAGAGGGGGGCGAGATGGTCCAAGTGGTTAGAGTGCGAAGCTACTGACCGGAAGGTCCGTGATTCGAACCCGACCTCTGCCTCTCGACTTCCCCTGTCTAGGCTTGGGCAACCTGCCAGTATCCCAGCCCTCGTGCTTCCTTCGAGTGGCATGGCAGGTAGGCACCGAAAGGGGGCTACAGCTGAACGGTTTTATGCAGCGAGAGGTCTACGGTTTGGAGCTGTCTTTGTAATTCTCTTACTTCTGCTTAGACTCGAGCATTCGGACAGAACGGCAAAACAAGAAGGTGGTATTCGTGTTTTCTCCATCTGGACGATCGTCTCTCGGAAAGCTATTTTAAAGGGAGTCACCACGCCCATCGGGTATCTGTGTCATATTCGGGATTCCGACTGAAAGGTGCAAAACAAGCTTCTGGATACGGAATATCTGTCTTTGGAAGCCTCTAACTCGTTCAGTCATGATCGTACAGATGCGCTCATAGCACTGACCAGGTTTCACTTAGCCAGTAGTAGTTGCCTTTGGCATATGAACGGTTTCCCCCAGTAGGTGTTCCCAAAATCGGTGGCAGATAGGCACCGAAAGGGTGCTACAGCTGAACGGTTTTATGCAGCGAGAGGTCTACGGTTTGGAGCTGTCTTTGTAATTCTCTTACTTCTGCTTAGACTCGAGCATTCGGACAGAACGGCAAAACAAGAAGGTGGTATTCGTGTTTTCTCCATCTGGACGATCGTCTCTCGGAAAGCTATTTTAAAGGGAGTCACCACGCCCATCGGGTATCTGTGTCATATTCGGGATTCCGACTGAAAGGTGCAAAACAAGCTTCTGGATACGGAATATCTGTCTTTGGAAGCCTCTAACTCGTTCAGTCATGATCGTACAGATGCGCTCATAGCACTGACCAGGTTTCACTTAGCCAGTAGTAGTTGCCTTTGGCATATGAACGGTTTCCCCCAGTAGGTGTTCCCCAAAATCGGTTCAGACTAAGGAAGACGCTTGCTAAGCGTGATCCAGAAGGGTGAAAATTAGTGGGATGAGAGTTGATGAAAGTTACTTGTCTCTAATGTAGAAGCTGGCTACGGCAAGACTCGGAAAAAAATTAGGCTGCTAGTCGTAAAACCAAACCAAATCTCAATGGGTATTCTGTCAAGAAGTCTTTGCAGGAAGAGTAGAACAGCCGCTGCATTAGGTTGCACAAGTGAGGCACACAAGATCAAAGTACTCTAGCGAAAAACAAGTCACTTCCTGGTGCACCTAGAGTGCAGTCGTAAGAGTGTTGAATGAGTGCATTTTTGTGCGCTGCTGTCTCCCAACCAGTGTGATTTATTTTCGAATTCTGAAAGCACACAGATTACATCGAAGAGTATTTCAGCGAACTGCTTCGGAGTACTTTAAAGAGCTGGAAGTGTATCGATCCTGGTTTTGCATTGCGAAAAAAAATCGCGTACTATTCTGGTTGTTCAGTCAGGGTGTTAATATAAAATCGTTGACTTGAAAGCCATTAAAAAAACTTGCCAACAGAGTGGCTGAAGTAAGTCGAATAAAAATTCGATGGAAACTTTGCCTGTCACGCTTGTTTGAACGAGAGGTGTCCTCAATCACCATCAAGTCGTATTTATTCTGATAAGATCAAGTAGAATGGATCACTCTGAACACAGTTCATCCCAAGTCTCGCTACTGTTATGCTGATACAGGGGTTAAGGTGCAAAGCTACTGACAGGAAAGTTCGTGTTTAGAACGTGGCATTTTGCTTGATTCTGTCTAGGCATGTACGACCCTCGTGATTCCGTCGTGCACCAAACGGTACGATAGTTTGACGGTTTACATTTTTTTGCTGTGGCGCACAACGCACGGCTGAATTACCGAGGTCCTGGAGCATATCAGTTGATGGTCGTAGTTTCAGAACAAATTTCTCACCGTGGGCGTTGCCTAGCGTCTATACACACACAGGACGTTGTTGTGATGAAAGTGTGATAGCACGCGTGGTTCTCAGCAGCTTCTAGGGTACGGGCGCAGCTAGCTCGTCTAGCACCTCATGGGCTTCTAGCAGCGATCGGAGACGCACTGTCTCTTCCGTGAACTAATTTCACGGCCTTGTTAGCACTCAGTCCAAGTCAACCGTATTCGCACAAGGGTAAATGTGACAAACAGATCTAGGCTCTTTGCACAACTTGGTCAGTGTGTTCACTAGTTGTTACACGCACACTCAAGCTTATCGAAAATGGGGACGACTAAAACATGAAATTTAGGTTGGACTATCACTTGAAATGCAAAAGATGTACTGTGACAAAGTTGTGGGAGGTGCCGTATGGCACATTACAATGCAGCTGAACGATTCATTGAGAGAAATGTTGTTTTCTTAAATCTGATTGCAGTACAACCGGGTGTGCTCACTTTTTTCCTGCAGATAGCCTCCCGTTCGTTGTCTCTCTTGTGCCACTCTTCGGCCAGTGTTGCCATCAGAAGCTGTTCGCGCTGTTTTAAGCGTGCGGTGAACTTGGCCTCTTCGTTTGCGCGCCATAATTCCAGTTCGAACGCAGTTCTGTATTCGGCGGTCGAACGGACATCCTCCAACTTGTGAAGCTTCAGGACGTAAGATACAGGTAATCGAGAGCGAAATGTGTTGTTGGTAAGCGCAATGGTGAAAAACCTGTCGTTACTAGGATTGCCACAATAGAGAAATTGAAAGCCAAGAGCCTCATTGATGTGTTTGTTCAGAATAAGCTAGTGAATCTTGACATTTTCAACTTCAGAGTGAATTGCAGTTCCCGAAAGGATCGGAATACCCACAATTCTATTCCCACCTTGTTTAGTCTGGAACACCGAACCTGGGAACTACACAACGGGTGGGGGTACCGTTTCCTCTAGCCGTCCACGTGTGTCAAAAGTAGCCTTAGTCCTTAGAGGCCACCTCGTTCACCAAACTCGTGGACTTGTTTGTTCTAATCCACTCGGTTGAAATTCACTGACTAATGATCTTGGACGACACAGGTTGCGCCTACGTTTGCATATGACATTTAATCAGCCGGAGACAGGAAAGCGTAGACATTTCAGACTGACTAGTTTAGGTGGATTAAGAGAACGCTTACATTCTTTTCAAACAGCAAGAGCAGTGGGTCTCAAAACCGTTCGTGCTTGTTTTGCTCACTTTGACAACAGATAAAAGTGATCATATGTTCCAACAGTTTGTAAATTTGAACTCTTGCAGGAAGCGCCTACGCCAGCTCGAGGAAGAGCAAGCGGGTTGAACCTACACATTGAACAGTAGTAAACAGTAAAATGTCAAGAAACAACACAACCTACGGCAGTGTAGACTGCACAGCTCTGTATGCGCTGTGCACATACATTGGACCGTTAAAAACTGAAAACTAGCAATTTAAAGAGAACTGGTTCATATCATATCCGATATATGATATCCGAAACAGATTCCCTGGTCAACAACGGTCGTCGGCACGCTTGACGGCCAAGCATAGTAGCCAAACTACGGGCGGTTTGTGCGGAGCGGAGTACGTTGCTACATGCAAGCCGGGGGAATGAGATCAAATACAGACCCAGCTGGATTCACCGGCCACCCCGATCATGATGCCATGACAGTGAACACTAACGTTTATTCTTTCACATAAATGCCTAGACGTCAGTCGTCAATTCCTGAGAGTTTCAGTGGAACGCTTATTGGGAATTTACAGTCAAGCGGTAAGCCAACTGTCAGATGGCTACTGATGAAACGTGCGAGTAATATCCGTTAGAGTAGCTCAAAGCGCCGCTCCTTCAACTAATACAGAGCTGCTTTCCCAAAATATCTGTGCAAACGAAATTGTGCTTTGTTGTAACCGCCCTGATCATGTTTCACAACGGACGACTTTAAATTCAATGCCTTTAACTTGGTGCCCTACCCGGGATGAAACTTGCGAGCACTATCTGTTCACAGTCGTTTGAAACGCAGCCGAGCGGCTCAGTAAATTCCAATTCAGCTTTCGATCAGATGCAGGGGTAGCGCTTCAGGCTGTTTTGAACAGCTATTGCTCGTTTATTTCATCAGTAGTATAAGCCGTCACACTGGTACTGTCAATTCAGGGACAGGGTAAGTAGAAGCAATACCATTCTGAACAGTTCACCTGTGTTTCCGACCAATCCAGTCCTACTAACCTGTGTACGAGGTGTGTTTACTGGGAAAAGTTGTGTGTACGGGTAGGAAGTGATGCAGAGCCTGCAACAGGTTACGAGACGGTACCACAAACCCATAGATGCCCGACTCCGGTTCAAAACCTTCCAATCAATCTCGTCTCGGTATTTCACACTGTACAAATGAAGGCGAACACAAGCCAAGCTTTATTTGCTTCATTCAGTATTGTAGATAAACCGTCAGGACAATAAAAACAACCAAAGTCCAGGCGACACACGTCAGGAAAGAATCAATTAGGAGCCGAACCACTCGCAGTCGGTTGGATTTGGAACGGTGCTCACTAATAGAAACGCAGTGATTTTGCTCAACACAATGAGCTTCCAGAAGCGAACCGAGGCTCTTTCTTGTTCGAGTTATGGGATCACGACAATGGTAAGGTACAAGTCGCTATTGTGTGGTTTCTGTTGACAAGTGGAAAATCTCTTCGTAAAGGATATCCCTCCCTCACCACACAATAACTGACAGCAAGCAGTTAAACAAGTGATTATGAAGGACAGGTCATTGGTCTTCTCAATGTGAAAAGAGGGCAACTGCGTAGGTAAAACAGTGTGCGTTGCCCTCAAAAGCGTAAGTTTTGGTTCACTCTATGAATATCTCTTCAGATGCTGGCCGTTTGCCACACACTTCCTAATATCCGAATGTATTTTGAGGCTAAAATCAATCCAAGCTGCTATCCCTACTCAATATTTATGGGATATTTTTGCAACAGGAAGCGCACCAGAATTCAAATCATGCTGAGCCAGGCCCCGTTTTAAAATTCGCAACAAGTTTGATTCCGAAGAATACGTGAACGTTATTCCGGATCATGCAACAGATCAAACTGTATGTTTCAACACCAAATTAAGCGATAGACGGCTGTGCTTCGACTATCAAGATCGCATCGATAGTGGACGTAAACGAGCTTTGTCCAGAAAGTTCATTTGAGCCTCAGAATATGTCAATGTATGGAAATTGAGGAAAGTTGTAGCAGTTGCACTTCTGAGGATTACCGAAAAATCAGTGGAGTCACCAGATGAATCTAGTAGTGGCAGATCCGTGGGCCTATCTTTCACAGTATCTTCTGAATCAGTCTGAAACCCATGAGTTTCGAACACTGTTCCTCACTGACGGATGTCTTGAACGGAACGCATAACAGTGAGGTGATGCAGGGCGGCGACAACGGAAGTAGGACCGGTGGAGAAACAATACAGATCTCCCACTTATCATTTTCTATTTTGATGCGATAACTTCACCTCAGTCACATCACCAGGAGCTTGATAACAGAGGTACAGGAGTACAAATACACACTGAATGGATCCCTCAGATAAGCTTCAACGTCACTTCATCGATTATGTGACTCGGACTAATAATAATCCCATTGGCATGTCTCTAGAAGAGAATGTGGCTTGTTCGATGCTTTTTGGGAGGAACATAGGACAAAATAATAGGCTGAACAGTCGCGGACATGAAAAGTAGATAAAATAAGATTAGGCGAATACGGAGTTTGCAAGTCTACCTATTCACAACCGGTTGTCCACCCAAAGGTGGTCCATATAAGAGGAAGACTGTGTCATAACAATACGAATGTGAATAGGTAGTACTGGCCGAACATACCTTGTTCTCACCCATTTCCGATTCCGATACCATAACTTGCTTGTGTTCCGTTTCCGTATCTTTCATCATCAAGTGGGGACCGTGATCCTCCAAGAGCAAGCTATAGACCAGTTGCCCCACAATGCGGTCGGATTGCACGCCTGAACCACTCAGATCGTTCTCGCTCACCGATCTAATGGAAACGAGCTCAGCAACGCCTGCATAACGTTGAGTGGTAGACTTGCTGTTAGGGGCTGTATAAAATATACAAAATCGTCATTTGAGTGTGCGGAAAGTCAAGTGGATTTTGTTCGGGCTAGCGCATGCGTCGACATGCATTAGAGATCTGACTAGCACTGAAATTCCGGTCGATGTTGTCCTGTAAATAAAGTCAATCTATGTCAAAAGCTAAGAAGTTTTTTTCATTTCAATTAGGATCTCACGAAACAACGGGGGTCTCAAACCTTCGACCTTCTGGTTAGCAGTTAAAGACCAAACCGTTCGGCCGTGAATGTGATCAACTCGCGCTCAGACAGGATACAGCACCACTCACTCTTCAATCACCCAATCTACATCACATGGACACGTGTTGACTGCCCCTTGGGTGACGACTTCTCGGATGGAAGTTCCCATTGTGTGAATTAATTCTCCCTCTGAGGCACCTATGGTTTGTCTGGAAGTTTGAAAGTTCAATCAGCATTTCGTCCTTACAGGTTTGGTCGGAAAAGCACTCCAGTTCGTACACTTCTTGGGCACGTTGGTGATCGCTTCGCGTTCAAATCACGCTGCGCTCACCGGACGAGCGTGAGACAGAAAGTGAAGCATAGCGAATATGTTATATCTGCTGATTCGCCAATCTGAGGTATCTGCCGTGACCTGCTCCACTTCCTAGTGCCGGAGAAAAAAGACTCACACAAGGGAACACAACAGCTATATTCCGAACAAGCGAGTGCGAGAGCGTGAGTGCGTCGAGTGCGAAAAGTACAGCGGTCTCAAGCTATTTATTGGAAGGACACCGTCTGAACTTGGTCCAATGCTGAGGCACACGTCTGGCTTCGTTACGAGGTTGTGACATGCGGGGGCGTTCTCTGACCTTGACCAACGCTGACTCGCGGCGTCTGGGTTTGATACAAGGCTGTGACGCGCTGCATCTTGAGGGGGCGTTGTCTGTCTGGTCAACACTCAGCGGAGCTAAGAGTCGCCGTAGATTCCGGGCCTTCAGTGGTTGCTTTCAGGAAGCTGACCTTCCTGATAGAATAGCTTTTCCCGAACCAACCACTTCTGCTTGGTAGTTCGCTGTTCGGAACAGTTGCCTGATTAACGTCTTCGTCCCTTCTCGGGGAATTTTCGGTCATCAGTTTGATTGATCTAGTCCCCTCTCTGGTGGATCACACGACCCACTAACAGTTCTTCTGGTGATGTAGAGTTACACTTGTGAGTGTTGGTACACCTCATTAAGAATCGTAGATCGTATTCGACTTAAGTGAATAATCATCAGCCGGGTCACTGACTGGCGCCGCACGTTTCCTCCAGTCAATGTTAAAGCTGCTTAACAAAGCTGTATAACCCCGATAATGACGTAGGATCTTCGAAATTACGGTGGAGAAAAGAGCTTACAAGGTGACAAGACAATCAGCCAATGAACGTATGAATTCGGTTCATCGTCTCACCACCAGTCATCGTATTATTTCACTGCATACTAGCCGGTATTGATAGATAGTCAAAACGAGCGCTGATACGGTCTAATGGAATCCCGAAACCAGAGACTGACATGACTGAAAGGTGGTGATCCATAACACAAAACGAAATAAACAGCTTAAATTCACGATCAGTTCCAAAAAGATGGCATGCTAACGTTGTATTGGCTTCATGTTGCTTTTGTAACTATACAAAGAAGGACTAAAATTTATGGGTATATCCTCATCAATATCGCATGGAAATTCATTTCACAAAGTGAACATAATGGTGATTGTTACCCATTAGGTGTTATTTAGTGTCAGACTCTCTCCGCAATCAGCGATGTAGCTAAGACAATCGGGGCAATCCGAGGAAACAAAATTCAACTGCAGTAAATCGGTGTAGAACCACTCGATCATTGTTTGACCTACCACAATTAGAGTTGAGATTTTGTTCGTTTGGTCTGTGAGGTAACGTGACTCCACGTCGTACGACTGACTGGAAACAGTTGTCGATTCGGAGGCACGCTGAGTTCCAGACCGAGTGTTCAAGCTAGTGTGAACCGTTTCGAGAACCATACATACTAACTGCGTTGAGATTACTTGACTTTGATAGTCACTGGAAACGTCTAGAAATTTCAGACGTTGACCAATCGGTGCTCCCTAAGTGCCAGGGGTCAGAAACAAGCAGTACCACTTTGTTTTCTAGGCACAATGATCGTGTTGTGCGATCACAGTGAAGTCTGTCCGCACGCGACCATCTAACGCTTTCCTTCAACTGTTGTCACTGTATATACACCAGGTCG